AAGCAAAGAAACATAAAACACATAAAAATGATCAAAAATGGAAAAAAGGGCTAAATACAAGAAAAAAACACAAAACAAAAAAAAAAAATCAAAGTAAAAATAGAAAAATATATATTAAAAAAAAATTAAAACAACAACAAGAACTTCACCTTCCTGAGTCCCCTTTACTTTTTTTCTTTCTTTCATCCTACCCCATTGCAAGGGGGTTTTTCTTGTCCTTTTAGGTGTCTGAAGTCTTCCACTAATGTTTATCCGGTGCTTTATGAGAATTGTTCCATTTGTGGATGTATTCTTTATGCACTTGACAGGAGAGATGAATTCTGTCTCCTCCTATTCTGCCATCTTGACTCCTTCCCCCCACCCCATCCTAATTCTAATGAACCATAATCTCTGAGGGTGGGAACCAAACATGCATATTGAATGAATATTTTATAAGTGATGTTTTTGAAACTAGAGCATTGTAAACAACTGTCTACTTAAAGGCAAACTATCTATAATTTAGTAATATACATATAGTTGTTTGTCTAGGAACATATATCTATAACAGGCAGATGAGCAATCAGTAAGTTAATATCAGCATTTTTTTAAAAGTGCAGATTCTGGGGTCATTATACCCTTCATTTGTGTTGAGTACAACACAGTGTAATAAAAATACTGATCATGAGGAATTCCATGGTGGTCCAGTGGTTAGGAGTCTGCACTTCCACTGCAGGGAGTGCGGGTTTGATCCCTGGTTGGGTAAATAAGTTCCTGCATGCCATGTGGCATGGCCAAATCATGAATTATCTGGAAAAATGTTTATTTATATTCCTCATATCTAAGGAAAAATGCTTATATTATTCAATTTAGATATATTGTCATCACAAAGTCAGTTATATTCAAAATTGACATAATTCCATTATTCAGAATGAATCTCCTGTTTCCCTATTACCTTTATATGTTTAAAAATAAATTATTCATACATATTTTTCTGTTATTTAAAAAGGTAAAAATAATTTTGAAGTTTCTTATTGATTAATTTTACTGTTACAAATCTTTATTTTAGAAAATAAGTTTCTCTTCATTCCCTTTTTATGAAATTGGTTGGATTTTTTTGGCTGTCTGCTCCCATAAGGTCAAACAAATATTGTGCTAAGCATTATGAATGCAGACATGAATGTGATATTACCTGGATACAGGTTGCTTACCTGTCTAGTGGGAGAGAAAGACAAGGAAATAAGTTGTTAGGACACAGTGTAACAATATTCTTTGCTGGCTGTCTGCTGGAAAAAGATGTCTTTTCTTATAGCATTTTCATGTTTGAAATTTTATAGTGTAATGCTGCTGAAAATTGAAAGAGATATTGCATTTTTAAAAGATGGGCATATGTGGATTTTAATTAGAAGAGGCATTGAGCAGACATTTCCTTTTGAAGACTTGCTTAGGTTTGGTGAAACTAAGTAGGATAGAGTACAGTTGTTTCCTAGCTCTGAATGTTTTTAAAAACCGATGTCATGACCCATGTTTATAATGATGATCTTAAATGTGGCAGAAACTGAAGTGCCTTCTTAAACATAAAAATATTATATTGTGTTCAATATAATATCACAGACTTGAAGGGGACTTTAAAGAACAGTCTAACATAATCTGTTTGTCATGTGAGAACACTGAAGTAGAGTAGTTTGTGATTTGGCCAAGGCTGCTTAGCTTATGCATGGGAGAACTAGGAGGAAAAATTAGGCTGTGACTCTTCCGTCAGTGTTCTTTACACTGGAGAAAACTTCCAGTATGCTTTTGTTTTATACCATTCTTTGAAGACTATTACTACATTCATAATATGTGGTATAAAATCAGTTAAAATAATATTAATAAGAGTATACAATTTGATGTTGCTTTTGATGTACATGTATTGCAAAAGTGCATAAAGATATGCCATACTTTAATATAATTCCAAAATGTCAGCTACAGAACATATGTATGTGCATTAAAAAAGGTCCTTGACTTTTTACAAAAAAGACGCCTTGAAAAGGGGAAACTCACTCTCATAGCTATTTAAAAGAGTCCAGTGAAACCCTCAGAATGGGAGAAAATATTTGCAAATGAAGCAACTGACAAAGGATTAATCTCCAAAATTTACAAGCAGCTCATGCAGCTCAATAACAAAAAAAAAGCAACCCAATCCAAAAATGGGCAGAAGACCTAAATAGATATTTCTCCAAAGAAGATATACAGATTGCCAACAAACACATGAAAGAATGCTCCACATCATTAATCATTAGAGAAATGCAAATCAAAACTACAAAGAGATATCATCTCACACCGGTCAGAATGGCCATCATCAAAAAATCTAGAAACAATAAATGCTGGAGAGGGTGTGGAGAAAAGGGAACACTCTTGCACTGCTGGTGGGAATGTGTATTGGTACAGCCACTATGGAGAACAGTATGGAGGTTCCTTACAAAACTACAAATAGAACTACCATATGACCCAGCAATCCCACTACTGGGCATATACCCTGAGAAAACCATAATTCAAAAAGAGTTGTGTACCAAAATGTTCATTGCAGCTCTATTTACAATAGCCAGGAGATGGAAGCAACCTAAGTGTCCATCATCAGATGAATGGATAAAGAAGATGTGGCACATATACACAATGGAATATTGCTCAGCCATAAAAAGAAACGAAATTGTTATTTGTAGTGAGGTGGATGAACCTAGAGTCTGTTATACAGAGTGAAGTAAGTCAGAAAGAGAAAAACAAATACCGTATGCTAACACATATATATGGAATCTAAGAAAAAAAAAAGTCATGAAGAACCTAGGGGTAAGACAGGAATAAAGACACAGACCTACTAGAGAATGGACTTGAGGATATGGGGAGGGGGAAGGGTAAGCTGTGACAAAGTGAGAGAGTGGCATGGACATATATACACTACCAAACATAAAATAGATAGCTAGTGGGAAGCAGCCGCATAGCACAGGGAGATCAGCTCGGTGCTTTGTGACCACCTAGAGGGGTGGGATAGAGAGGGTGGGAGGGAGGGAGACGCAAGAGGGAGGAGATATGGGAACATATGTATATGTATAACTGATTCACTTTGATATAAAGCAGAAACTAACACACCATTGTAAAGCAATTATACTCCAATAAAGATGTTAAATAAAAAAAAAAGAGTCCAGTGAAATACTCTTTTGATGTATAAGAAACATCCATGGACATATTTTCAGAACAGATACTTCATTTCTGACTGATTAGTGGTTCTTAATACCTAAAGCTAAAACTCCTCTGCTGGATACCCTTCTTTGAGAGTAAATGTCTGACTACTTATGTAACATGGCAGTTATTTTAGCTGCCATGAAGCCACCTTACTTGGGACCATGCTCTTGCCCATTATGACCACAGTCGCCATTGATTAATCAGTTAATTAAAGGGTGAATGGATTGGGAACATTCTTGCCATCCAGACCAGAATTGATATGATATAATGGAAAGCTACCAAGACTTCTAGACATCATGATTAACTAGTCATGTGAACTTAAACTCTGTGTGTCTCAGTTTTCTCCCCTATAGTGTCAGAAGGTTGGATAATATATCCCAGCTTTTGTTATTTTGTGATATATAATACATTTGAGGGGTTTTTTTTCATCCTAGCTACTGTTCTAGGGACTAGAATTACAGTTCACCTGAGTGTAGTCTTGATATAGAGTCCTATATGAAGGAGCAGAAACACTTCCAAGGTGACTTCCTTCTGCCTGACCCAGGTGGTAGTAAATCTGGCATATAATTTATATATAAAGTTTCAATAAAAGTAGGCTCATGGCCTGGAAACATATTTTTGGGCTTTGCAGATTTTGTTTGTCTAGGCTAGTTTCTTTTTCATTGATATGGCTAGCTGGACATTTAAATATTCATATATTACTGACTACTTAAAATGGTATAGTGAAATACTATTTAAAAGAACTCTTGAGGTTCACATTTTTTGTCATGTCCCACAATTTACAAGGTTTTATCTATCTCTTGACTTTCTCTGCATCTACCTCATAAGTCATACTCCATTGAGGTTCTTAAGACTCTGTTAGTTGTTGATGTTTTACTTCTGTCTCTACCTAGTTGGAACAGAAGCTGAAGCATAGATTTTACATGCTTCTGTTTACATGAAATTATATAATAGGGGTGGTGGTGGTGATGTTCTATCTCTATGTGTTAGAAAACCCAGGAAATGGGGATGCTAGTAGCCCATAAAACTCTGTGCTAGATTTAAGGAGTTAGGTATTAAATTATTTCTGTTGTGATTTCTGGTTCTAAATGGAGCTAATAATAAGATGTTGTAAGTATATTTGAGTATTGCTTGGATTTCTTTTTTCAGGATGAAGGAGTTGTTAAAGAAATCCCTATTACTCATCACGTTAAGGAAGGATATGAGAAAGCAGATCCTGCACAATTTGAGTTACTCAAAGTTCTTGGTCAGGGATCCTTTGGAAAGGTAATGGATGCCTTTTTCCCCATTTGTTTTTCTTCTAAACATTTAACAAAAAAAGTATACACATAGGTAGAAATCTGATAAATGTGCTGTTTCTAAATTGTCAAAGGATACACACAAAGGCGGCTCTAATTTTACTGCTTTTTATTTCTGTTGTATTTTTAGTTCAATTTCTTTATTCTTCTCTGTAATAATAAAGGTTTTCTAATCCCCTGGGATCACTGATATCTCTAGGACAAAATATAGCATGCTATTTATTAGCTGCCTAAATCAAGAAAGTTTGAATTTTGTAAAAGAGATCTTGTTTCTCTGTTCACATGCTGGCATGACCTTAGCTTTCTTTCTTGGTGATTTCATCTGTATTCCTTAGCTCTATCACAGAAGCCAGAATGTATGTATCAATTCATGTACTGAATACATAAATTAATCTATCATCTTTTAAAGCAAATATGTGTGTAAAGTACAGCTATGGTAAGTACTGGGTGATATATGGATTATGTGAAACTCCTGCCTTCAAAGGGCTTAAATTTCAAGGGAAAAAGCAAAATTGAGGAAGATAAACTCTGACACTCATTATTAAAATTGGTTATTAAGGGCTTAATGGTATATGATTCTTGGAAAAGATGTATGTAGGTCTGGTTCCTGACTTTTGTATACCTAACATCTAAGACATGAAAAGTATTGCATACACATATTAAGTAACAGCCTTTAGGAAACAGCAACAGTGGCAATTTAAGGGGAGGAAGTTAATGAGAAACTACTAATTTCAGGGTGGCTGAGATTTAGTTTCAAAGGGGAAAGTAAGGAAGTTGAGCATTGCTTATTTATTATGCTCTGAAACATTATAAAAGAAAGACATTTATTGAACACTTGGTTTGTGTATAACACTTTAAAAAACAACATTGGTTAATATAAAGTAGACATAATTGTCTTAAAGTAATCTGATACCTGTGTGGTATAGAATACCACATGTAAAATATAGAGAAACATTTTCAGGACACAAAAAGTACAAGCTAAGGTGGATTATGGTTTGGCAGTGAATTGGTACAGGAGGTATATGATGACAAGGAGATAGGACTTGAATAGTTGTGCTAGGGAGAGTAAAACTAGAAGGAGCTTTCAATAGATTGTATGTGTGGGGGGTGTATTTATAGAACTGACCTGTAGAGTAGGCATGTGCATTTTGAACACCTTTATTTTTTAAAGTTACTAAAAGTACAGTATATAAACAAATATTTTACATTATATTTTATGATGTTAATTTTAGAACAGAGATGAAGTTCTTTTACATCCCCAATATATAAATGCTTACATAGCGACTCAAATAAAATATCACCAGGCAATCATTTCAAGCCATTAAAAGTATTTGTTTTGTCATTTGATATATGTAAATTTATTCATATGTGTATTTATTTATATCCAGCTTTGTTCCAGAAAGGATTTAAGGCTTTCATAGATGAATACTAAATAAAATAAAATTTAAAATAAGTGGGGAAGATGATGGAAGCAGAAAAATTGGAGCAGGAAAGATGAGATGAAGCCAGGAATAAACTCTGTTGTTCACAGATGCATGGTATAAGGGCCTAGAAATGGGGCAAAAGTGAAGACAAATATTTTGGCAGCCATTATAAAGAGGCTGAAACATTTAATTGTATGATTATTGACAGTATCTTTAAGAAACAGATCAAACAGACCAGAGAAATTTTTCTTATGGGGCTTCATGAAGAAAATACAGTATAACATAATAAAATGTCTTCAGTAACATCTTCACATTAATTATAGCAACACGCTGACAAGTTGTCAATGCAGTCCTTAAAAAAATCAGGGAACACTCAGCTTTGTACAGGAACTTTGGTTTAACAAGGATATCATAGAAGCCTTTAAAAAATTCCTAATACTAAAATACAGAATAGTGATCCTTGTGCAGTTCATCAACCAAAGAAATATTAAGGAGGTGGCTTATTTTTTTCTTCCTAGGATGTGAACATACTTGCTCGTCAGTATTATGTCACTTGCGTAGGCATTGTGTGGGTGGGACTTGTTATATGCTGAACCTATTCAGGAATTTGGCCAAGGCTGTGAATCAGATAAGTGTAGGAGCAATTCCAAGAAACTTTGGGCTGCAGTCTTATTTATAAGTTTTTCTGTGAAAGTCCCATTGTTAAAATGCAATAAATGGAATTTTAACCTATATAATGCTTTGTGACATTGAACATCTATATAGTCTATTTAATCGGGAAAATCCTACGAAAATCAATTGTAAAATTGTACTTTAAAGAAGCATGCATTATCATAAAAGATGCATATAAAATTCTGTACTAAGCACATCAAGTAATGTGTGAATTTAAATGAAGTATACCAAACAACTTACATTACTTATTTTAAAACACAATAAAATAAAACGCTTGAAAACATGTTTGACATTGTCAGACTAGCCTTTCGTATATTTCACATGTCAAATCATTTACACAAAGCATACATACATTTTAACATTCATGCTTCATATTATTTTTGCTTTTGTGATAGTAAAGCCTTTAAATATAGGACTTAAAAATGGATTTTTGAAAATATCAAACCCTTGCCCTCCTTAGTAATTGATTAGCTATCAAGAGATAGTTTTAAAAATATATGTTTACAACTTAAAATTTCTTGCAAATGGTCCTTTCTCTTCAATCAGTGTTAAAGCTGTGCAGTTCTGCAGTTCACTTCAGCAAACACTTCTTAACGGAAAATATAAAAGTCCATATGACAGAGAGAAAAGTATATTGGAGTAATTCACTCATTCATTTCTCTTCTGAACAATTTCTGAGAATTGGATTAGAGTGACTGAAAAGAAACCTCTCTGATCAGGAAAGAGATGTTTTTAGAAACAGTAGTTTGAAGTCATGCAGCTTCTTCTGTAGTTGATGATGGAAAGAGAGCAGAGTGAGATGATGTTTTCTTGTGCTAGGAAAGTTCACTCATTAGACCTGAAAAGAACAAATCAGGTAATGAACAAATAAACAGTTATATCTCTAGACTGTGAATGATGGCTTCTATTAGATGCCATATTGAGATACTAGTGAGTGTTTTAAGAGATAGGGGAAAAGTGGCTGCTTTGTGCTTTGGGTTTTTCTTTCTTCTTTAATTGTCTCTTTTTACCCTCTGTATTCCATTCTTTTCAACTCCACTAAAGGCTGTGTTCTAGAACAGTGGTTCTCAAAGTGGGGTCTACTACCCCTGGATATCCACAGGACACTTTCAGGGGGTTCTCAAGGTCAAGACTGTTTTATAATACTAAGATATTATTCGTAAAACTTTTGGCACTTTGGCACAGTCAAGGAAGTGATTTTAAACTACATCAGTAATCATATTCTTCACTGTCACCCACTTACAGTTAAAAAAATGTGTTTTACTTAAGAATGTCCTCGATGAGATTTTAACAGTGATTAAATTTATCAAGTATCAACCCTTGAGTACACATCTTCTTAATATTGTGTGATGAAATTGAGAAGTACACAAAGTACTTTAGCTGCATACCAAAAGTATGATTGTCTCAAGACAGAGCACTTTTGTAATTTTTTGAGTTGTGAGCTAAATTAGACGCTTTTTTCATGGAAAAGCATTTTTACTTGAAAGAATGATCGACAAACTATGGTTACTTAGACTTGGGTATTTGGTAGATGTTTTCTCAAAAATGAATGGAGCGAACCTGTTATTTCATGGAAAACAACTGATAATATTTTTGTCAATGATAAAATTCGAGCTTTGAAGCAAAAAATTAGAATTTTGGAAAATTTTTATTTGCCACTGTAGGCTCAACTGTTCTCAATACTCAAAAGACTTTCCTGATGAGATTGCTACTGTCAACATTTGGAAGATCTGAATAACTCAGTGACCCAATGTTTTTGAGTTGACCAAACACATGATGTTATCAAATCAGACATCAGTACAAAATCCATTCAAAGTGTCAGGTAGATCATGGATTATTATATAAAAGAATATGGACAGTTAATTGATGTGGTTTCAGATTTTTCATTGCAGCTAATCTTTAAGAAACTGCCACTTGTCAAATTCTTGTGTCGTATCAAAAAAGAAAAACTACAATTATATGGAAAGGCTATTAAAATAGTACTCCCTTTTCCAAATACATATCTGTGTGAGGCCTGATTTTCTTCTTATAATTTAAGCAAAATAACTTAATTGCAACAGATTGAATGTAGAAGCAGATATGAGAATCCAACTGTCTTCTGTTAAGCCAGATATTAGAGACTTGCAAAAATGTAGATCAGTGTCAATCTTCTCATTGATTTTTTTGTTTTGGAAAAAATATAGTTATCTGTATAAAAATATTTATATTCACATATAACAGGTATTTATTATTTTTAATGAATTAATACATAGTTAATTTTTTTCTGTTTTAATTTTTAATATAGTAAATATCAATAGATAAAACCCACAAAAACAAAAGTACTTTAGAGTCATCAGTAATTTTTAGGATTGTAAAAGAATTCTTTTTTTTATTATGTTTATCATCTTTAAGGTTTTTATTTTTATTTTTTTAATATTTATTGGAGTATAGCTGCTTTACAATGTTATGTTAGTTTCTACTGTACAGCAAAGTAAAAGAATTCTTGAGACCAAAAATATTGAGAATTGCTTTCTTGGAAGAGACTGAGAAAGATAGTTCTCTTACTTGTGGTGTAGTCAACACTCACGAAATGACCTGACTCCTTTGTTGTCAACATCTTGGTCACATGATATTGATTAGGAAAGAGGAAACTGTTTATCTACCTTTATTTGCCCATGTCAGTAAAACTGAATGAAAACTTTAAGTCTGGTGCTTAGGGTTAATGCCATTTGCTTAGCTTTGAAACGTGTGTGTGTGTGTGTGTGTGTGTGTGTGTGTGTGTTATGGCAATTAATTTAACCTGCTGTTTAAAGAACTGATATAGACTGAAATCAGCTATACAAATACGTACAAGTCCACTTGTTTGCCAACAGCAGAAAACTTGAAAAATACAGATAAGAAAATGTGCATCTGGGATCATAGCTTCTTTAGCTCACTCAATAAGTTTTATATGACATTTAGAACCCCATGGTAATCTAGTTTGTGTTTGTATTCTCTCTAACCCAGATTGAATATATTCTTCTGTGATTAAAAAGCCTGATTTAGCACTGTTCATTTATAAAATACTAATTTTATTTTCTAGTGAATCTTCATTATAAAGGAGACCGAGGGTAGGCTATAGGTGTGTTAAATTTGACATTCTGTTCCATTGCTTACTATTTTCATCAGTGAAAAATCATGGATTTTTAGGACTATCCTCTCCAAGTTTAAATGCACTAAAAATAACTCCATGGAATGAAGCTACTGAAATCTTCTGTGGCAGTGCACACTTCCTTGGGGTTCTACATTGTTTGGGGAGATCTTGTTGGAGTTCAGAGTAGATATTAGACTTGAAAGTAACATAGGGTAGTAGCTTTGTTAGTTCTTTCAGTACAGAAATGTTTATGGTGATATGCAATTTTATGATTTGGTTCAAGCCCTGAACTTTTCTTTTCTCCAAAGATAGTTTTATGTTGCAAAACCCAGCCATCTGTTAATATGTGAATTCTCTTGATTAGTCTACTCCAAGTGTGGTATGAACTGTTACTGGCTTACTGTAAGACATGTTCAAAAACTGAGAGTAAGCATTTAGCAACTTTTACAGAAATTTGACAAAGTAATTTTATGTGTAGAATCAATTAGTATAAAAAGGGATTGTATTTTATGACATTTAAATTTCAATTTTCTAAATAATTCATTTTGATTATATTTTATAGAAGTATGGTCTGCAATGGACTTGGAGAAAAGGGGGAAAAAAGACTGGTTGGTCTACACAGAAAGTGTGAGAAGCACTACACTAGATGAGTATGAAAACTGTAAACCTGAAATGGTCCTTGAGTTTAGGTCTGATATAAAGAATAGGAGAAGCAGAGATTAAATGAAGTAAAGATTCCACCCCCTCACCTGCCCAGTTGGCTGATACATAATTATCACATAAAATATTTGGATTAAAGGGTTTTAAGCTCTACCTTAGGAAAGAGGCAAGACAAAAAATTAGTTAAAATCTCTCCCATCTGCAGTTTTGTGTGAACAAGTTAGTTACTTGACCACATTTTAAAGTTAAGCAACACTTGAATAGAACTTGTTAGAGTTGAGGATGGCAGGTAAGGCAGTGAACACGTTTTACTAAATAGTTAAAAAATTGAAACAACCCTTTGCTAATAAATAACTCATAAAACTGTAATATACTCATAATTATCTTCATAACTGAGGCTTTTTAAAACTTAGCTTTTAATGAGTCATAATACTGGTTTGAAAATATGAGATATTATTACTTAAGCTTACTTGGTAACTTTAAATAATTTAACTTTCATTTCTTTATTGAAATATTTGCTATCTTGATTCTTTTTCTTGGCAGACAGATAAGAATTGCCTGATTTCTTATTAGAAAATAAAATACCTGGTAACTTCTAAAATGGACCAATAGGGAAGTAGAAATGAAGGTATCAAATTAATGGTCATCACATTTGTTTGCTCCTTATTAAGGTAACAAAAAGGAGCTTGGGTCTTATAAGGAGCTCCCTTAGCTCAAATTGTCTTTCATTATATTATTTATCTCTTACATCAGAAACTTCTCAAATGTTCTTTTAAATTTTCTTTTCCACAATAGGATGTACAGGAGTGTGATTCACTAAGTGACTGAAAGTGAGAAAATATTAACCAAGTATAATTTATAGAGAAAGGTATATCTTTATAAAATTAGAGAAAATGCAGGGCCGTATGTATGTGCTAATGTATATGTTTAGCAGGAATGGCTTGGGATGTGAATTTCACTGTTTTAATTTTAATTCTCCTATTAGGTTTTTCTTGTTAGAAAGAAGACTGGTCCTGATGCTGGACAGCTCTATGCAATGAAGGTGTTAAAGAAAGCTTCTTTAAAAGGTAGAAAATTGGAAACCTTATTAAAATAGAATGTGGTAAAGCTTGTTTTAAGAAATATGCTGTGCACGCTTATATAAGATGAGTAGATTTAGTTTCCTTTTAACATTAGTAATTGTTACAGATTTCTAGTGGTAAGTGATATTTCTAGGTTTGATATTGGCATATACCCTAATTTAGTGAGAGTGTACCCTAGTAAAAATTTAATGGGATAAAAAGTGACATGTTTTATTTAAAGTGAACTTATTTTATTAAACTATATTCTTTTATTTCAAGATTCTTATTTTTTCTATCTGTTTTGGTATTGCATATTGAGAAAGCACAGCCACCTGCCTACACTTATATACACTGTCTTCCAGGCTGTGATAACAATAACACTGTGCTCAGTTTTAATCAATAAACTCATTTGAACAATTTGGAGACTAATATATAATAAATGCTTATTCACCAAATAACTTTGTGTCTCCTTAACACATCTCTAGATCTAAACTGAATTTGTTAGCTTTCTGAGAATATGGTAATTACTGTCTAGGAATATAGACTGCAAATTTGGGCACTTATAAAGTTATGTTTTATATTTCTGTATTTTTGTTGGGTGAATTACTGATGGGATCTCTACTGAAATTATATACGAGAGCAATATATTCTACCCTTCTGTAATTTTTAGTTCGAGACAGAGTTCGGACAAAGATGGAGAGGGATATACTGGTGGAAGTAAATCATCCATTTATTGTCAAGTTGCACTATGGTATGTAATCTTTTTTTAAAAAAAATATGGAATTAGAGAACTAAGATTTCCTTTCAGACAATAATATAACAGGATATAAATACTTCAAACAGGAAATGAATATGGAATGATTTAATACATTCAACTATGTAAAATGTATTTATCTGAAATAAGAATTAATATCTAGCTTTTAGTTGTCTTTCCTGTATTTGTTGGTTAACTTGTCTAAGGTAACAAGATAGTGTCTTCTGATTACTTGTCTAGTAGTATTTCTGTACTAGGCTATACCTCCAGGGATCTTAGGCTATAAACTACTGTGACAATTTCTTCAAAACATTTTTGTGTTTGGAAGGGCCCCTCTTACATGTTCATAATGAGCATATTAATCTTACATCCTCATTCTGTTGAAGAGGACCATATGGTATATTAGTCTATTTGAGTTATTTTTTCTTATGTTTGGCAGGAGAGGAATACAAGTGAGAAGCAATAGGTACAATGGAAAGAACATGAATTTGGAGTCAGACAGTTCTGAGGTTTTTTTTAATTGTGATATAGTTGACTTACAGTATTATATAAGTTTCAGGTGTACAATATAGTGTTTCACAATTTTAAGGTTATATCCCATTTATATTTACTATAAAATATTGGTGATGAATCCTTGTGTTGTACTATATATCCTTGTAGGTTACTTATTTTATACATAGTAGTTTGTACCTCTTAATCCCCTACCCCTATCTTGCCCCATCCCCCTCCCTCTCCCCATTGGTAAACACTAGTTTGTTCTCTATATCTATGAGTCTGTTTCTTTTTAGTTATATTCCCTAGTTGGTTTTATTTTTTAGATTCCACTTAGAAGTGATATCATATAATATTTGTCTTTGATTTTCACTAAGCATAATATTCTCTATGTCCATTCATGTTGTTGAAATGGCAATATTTCATTGTTTTTTATGGCTGATTAATAATCTCTGTGTGTGTGTGTGTGTATGTGTGTGTGTGTGTGTGTGTGTGTGTGTGTGTGTGTGTACGCCACATCTTTTTGTTTTTCTCTTATTTTTTTCTTATTGGAGAATAATTGCTTTAAAATGGTGTGTTAGTTTCTGCTTTATAACAAAGTGAATCACTTATACATATACATATGTTCCCATATCTCCTCCCTCTTGCATCTCCCTCCCTCCCACACTCCCTATCCCACCCATCCAGGTGGTCACAGAGCACCGAGCTGATCTCCCTGTGCTATGCGGCTGCTTCCCACTAGCTATCTATTTTACATTTGGTAGTGTATACATGTCCATGCCACTCTCTCACTTTGTCACAGCTTACCCTTCCCACTCCCCATATCTGCAAGTCCATTCTATAGTAGGTCTGTGTCTTTATTCCCATCTTACCCCGAGGTACTTCATGACATATGTTTTTTCTTATATTCCATATATATGTGTTATCATATGGAATTTGTCTTTCCCTTTCTGAATTACTTCACTCTGTGTGACAGACTCTAGGTCCATGCCCCTCACTACAAATAACTCAATTTTGTTTCTTTTTATGGCTGAGTAGTATTCCATTGTATATATGTGCCACATATTCTTTATACATTCATCCGATGATGGACACTTAGGTTGTTTGCATCTCCTGGCTATTGTAAATAGAGCTGCAATGAACACTTTGGTACATGACTCTTTTTGAATTATGGTTTTCTCAGGGTATATGCCCAGTAGTGGGATTGCTGGGTCATATGGTAGATCTATTTTTAGTTTTTTAAGGAACCTCCATACTGTTCTCCATAGTGGCTGTACCAATTCACATTCCCACCAGCAGTGCAAGAGTGTTCCCTTTTCTCCACACCCTCTCCAGCATTTTTGTTTCTAGATTTTTGATGATGGCCATTCTGACCGGTGTGAGATGATATCTCATTGTAGTTTTGATTTGCATTTCTCTAATGATTAATGATGTTGAGCATTCTTTCAAGTGTTTGTTGGCAATCTGTATATCTTCTTTGGAGAAATGTCTATGTAGATTTTCTGCCCATTTTTGGATTGGGTTGTTTGGCTTTTTCTTGTTATTGAGCTGCATGAGCTGCTTTTAAATTTTGCAGATTAATCCTTTGTCAGTTGCTTCATTTGCAAATATTCTCTCCCATTCTGAGGGTTGTCTTTTGGTCTTATTTATGGTATCCTTTGCTGTGCAAAAGCTTTTAAGTTTCATTAGGTCTCATTTGTTTATTTTTGTTTTTATTTCCATTTCTCTAGAAGGTGGGTCAAAAAGGATATGGCTGTGATTTATGTCATAGAGAGTGTTGCCTATGTTTTCCTCTAATAGTTTGATAGTTTCTGGCCATACATTCAGGTCTTTAATCCATTTTGAGCTTATTTTTGTGTATGGTGTTAGGGAGTGATCTAATCTCATACTTTTACATGTACCTGTTCAGTTTTCCCAGCACCACTTATTGAAGAGTCTGTCCTTTCTCCACTGTACATTCCTGCCTTGATTATCCAAGTTAAGGTGATTATATGTGCATGGGTTTATCTCTGGGCTTTCTGTCCTGTTCCATTGCTCTATATTTCTGTTTTTGTGCCAGTACCATACTGTCTTGAGTACTGTAGCGTTGTAGTATAGTCTGAAGTCAGGGAACCTGATTCCTCCAGCTCCCTTTTTCGTTCTCAAGATTCCTTTGGCTATTCGGCGTCTTTTGTGTTTCCATACAAATTGTGAAATTTTTTGTTCTAGTTTTGTGAAAAATGCCAGTGGCAGTTTGATAGGGATTGGATTGAATCTGTAGATTGCTTTGGGTAGTAGAGTCATTTTCACAATGTTGATTCTTCCAATCCAACAACATTGTATATCTCTCCATCTATTTGTATCATCTTTAGTTTCTTTCATCAGTGTTTTATAATTTTCTGCATACAGGTCTTTTGTCTCCTTAGGTAGGTTTATTCCTAGATATTTTATCCTTTTTGTTACAGTGGTAAATGGGAGTGTTTTCTTGATTTCACTTTCAGATTTTTCATCATTAGTATCTAGGAATGCCAGAGATTTCGGTGCATTAACTTTGTATCCTGCCACTTTACCAAATTCATTGATTATCTTTAGTAGTTTTCTGGTAGCATCTTTAGGATTCTCTATGTATAGTATCAAGTCATCTGCAAACAGTGACAGCTTTACTTCTTCTTTTCCGATTTGGATTCCTTTTATTTCCTTTTCTTCTCTGATTGTTGTGGCTAAAACTTCCAAAACTATGTTGAATAAGAGTGGTGAGAGTGGGCAACTTTGTCTTGTTCCTGATCTTAGTGGAAATGCTTTCAGTTTTTCACCATTGAGGATGATGTTGGCTGTGGGTTTGTCATACATGCCCTTTATTGTGTTGAGGAAAGTTCCCTCTGTGCCTACTTTCTGCAGGGTTTTTATCATAAATGGGTGTTGAATTTTGTCGAAAGCTTTCTCTGCCTCTATTGAGATGAGCATATATTTTTTCTCCTTCAATTTGTTAATCTGGTGTATCACATTGATCGATTTGCATATATTGAAGAATCCTTGCATTCCTGGAATAAACCCCACTTTATCGTGGTGTATGGTCCTTTTCATGTGCTGTTGCATTCTGTTAGCTAGTATTTCGTTGAGGATTTTTGCATTTATGTTCATCAGTGATATTAGCCTGTAGTTTTCTTTCTTTGTGACATCCTTTTCTGGTTTTGGTATCAGGGTGATGGTGGCCTCATAGAAGGAGTTTGGGAGTGTCCCCCCTCTGCTATATTTTGGAAGAGTTTGAGAAGGATAGGTGTTAGCTCTTCAGTAAATATTTGATAGAATTTGCTTGTGAAGCCATCTGGTCCTTGGCTTTTGTTTGTTGGAAGATTTTTAATCACATTTTCAATTTCAGTGCTTGTGATTGGTCTGTTCATATTTTGTATTTATTCCTGATTCAGTCTTGTCTGGTTGTGCATTTCTATGATTTTGTCCATTTCTTCCAGGTTGTCCATTTTATTGGCATAGAGTTGCCTGTAGTAATCTCTCATGATCTTTTGTATTTCTGCAGTGTCGGTTGTTACTTGTCCTTTTTCATTTCTGATACTATTGGTTGGAGTCTTCACCCTTTTTTTCTTGATGAGTCTGACTAATGGTTTATCAATTTTGTTTATCTTCTCAAAGAACCGGCTTTTAGTTTTATTGATCTTTGCTATTGTTTCCTTCATTTCTTTTTCATTTATTTCTGATCTGATCTTTATGATTTATTTCCTTCTGCTAACTTTGGGTTTTTTTGTTCTTCTTTCTCTAATTGCTTTAGGTGCAAGGTTAGGTTGTTTATTCGAGATGTTTCCTGTTTCTTAAGGTAGGATTGTATTGCTATAAACTTCCCTCTTAGAACTGCTTTTGCTGCATCCCATAGGTTTTGGGTCATCGTGTCTCCATTGTCATTTGTTTCTAGGTATTTTTTGATTTCCTCTTTGATTTCTTCAGTGATCACTTCGTTATTAAGTAATGTATTGTTTAGCCTCCACGTGTTTGTATTTTTTACAGATCTTTTCGTGTAATTGATATTTAGTCTCATAGCGTTGTGGTTGGGAAAGATACTTGATAAAATTTCAATTGTCTTAAATTTACTAAGGCTTGATTTGTGACCCAAGATATGATCTATCCTGGAGAATGTTCCATGAGCACTTCAGAAAAATGTGTATTCTGTTGCTTTTGGATGGAATGTCGTATAAATATCAATTAAGTCCATCTTGTTTAATGTATCATTTAAAGCTTGTGTTTCCTTATTTATTTTCATTTTGGATGATCTGTCCATTGGTGAAAGTGGGGTGGTAAAGCCCCCTACTATGAATTTGTTATTGTCGATTTCCCGTTTTATGGCTGCTAGTATTTGCCTTATGTATTGAGCTGCTTCTATGTTGGGTGCATAAGTATTTACAAGTCTTATATCTTCTTCTTGGATCGATCCCTTTATCATTATGTAGTGTCCTTCTTTGTCTCTTGTAATAGTCTTTATTTTAAAGTCTATTTTGTCTGATGTGAGAATTGCTACT